TCGGTGTCGCGCCTGCACCGCGCTCAACCAGTGAGCGGACCGGTCTCTATATGGGATCCGAACCCTTGGCGGGAGCGCCGCCACGCTCCCAAGCACTGCACTCTACCAAGTGCGCCACCAGGCCAGCCCAAATGAATCCATTTTGATTCTGACAACTTTCATGTTGTCAAAAAGGCTTGGCAAGAATACATCCATAAGGACCTGATTATGTGTCATTAAGCTCTGGTTTAAGAGGTGGCTCTTTCTTAATGTTAATGTGCAATAGTACGTAGCTAGCATTTAAAAGATAGTTTAGAAATAATTTTAACAAGGGCTTAAGCTATTAGAAGATTTAATAATATTAATAAAGAATGAATGGGTTGGATTATACATATCAGTTTTTGAGAATCTTGGTTGCCTCTGCTGGGGAAGGAGCCAAGTGTGAAGACCACACTCCCCTCACCGGCACCATCACCCACCTGGTTTCAGGTACGTCAGGTGTAGCAGGAAATGGTTTCTCTGTGGCTAATCTAATCTAGGTCAGGGGAGGAAATAAGGTGTTCACAAAAAGGCCTGGAAGTGTCTCTTAAATCCTACTATAACTAAGTCAATAAGATGTGAGAACTCAGGAGACAGAACTCAGGGAAAAGTTAGAATCAAATCACTGATATCAATCAAAAACTATGCCCAGTTTCCTGCCAAAATATTGAACACTTGCCTGGATTGAATTCCAGAGCTAGCAAAGAAAGAAAGGGGCCTGGAAATCAACTTCACCTGCCTGCTGACCCTGACAGATGTGATTCCCATGTGTGCTGGGGCCTCACTCACTCACTCACCACTGTTGCTGCGTGTTCTTAGGTCATGCCCATCTCCTGGCCCATTGGTTTCTTCAGGAACCTCCACAAGATCCGAAGTCTTGGAGGAAAGAGGAAACAGCACAGAATAAGCAATGTTATGTTTGTGGGTCACCTGAGCAGAGATTTTTTTTTTCCTTTTTGTCTTTTTTCGTGACTGGCAACGGATCACAACCCTCAGTGTCGCGCCTGTACCGGACCGGGACTGGCAACGGAATCGCAACCCTCGGTGTTGCGCCCGCACCTCGCTCAGCCAGTGAGCGGCTGGTCTGTATGTGGGATCCGAACCCTCGGCGGGAGCGCCGCCACACCACGCTGCCACTGTAGCAGTGCGCCACCGGGCCGGCCCTGAGCAGAGATTTTGATGTCAGTAAAATAGCTAAGGTAGAATTTACATGACACTTAAGAATCCAATTATTGCTGTCTTGTCTGTCTGGCTAACTTTAGAGAGGCTGTGTGTCCCCTCGTGGGCTCTGTTCCTTCCTTCATGTGTCTGTGGTGGGCTCAGGCTTGGCCATGATAGGTACCCAATGAGTATTGAATGAATGCCTAAATGCATGGGCCATAGTTAGGCTTCATCCCAGGAATAGACAGAGAGAGAAATCAGGGTTCCTGCCCATATCCTGTCACTTAAAATTTTCAATAAAACTATAGCTCTTTCTATAGGTGAGTTTTAAATATTAATTATAGCAAATAAGATGCACTATTGAGGAGGCACTATTTAGGTACGAGTTGAGTGCTGTTTCCATTGCTGCAAAAATCAATTGTCTTTGTAATACTTATTTTGCCTTTTTAAAATGAGAAGTCACATTATTATTCCACTTAGGTTACAAAAGTAACAAGAGCAGCAACAACAATAACAATAACAGCACTGTAAGCAGCTAATGTTCTTGATCATTTACCAAGTGCTGTTTTTAAGTACTTTATCATCCCTTTATTCCTCATAATAATCCTATGATAGACCCATTTTTCAGATAGGAATTTGAAGCCCAGAGAGAATCAGTAACTCTACTGGAGGTGCCACAGCTATTCAGTGGAGGAGTTGGGGCTGTGAACCCCAAACACAGTGCTTCATCCTGTGGTGTTTGGGGGCAGCTCCATGGGCTGGTGAGAGCCTTCAGGGTTATCACCTGGTAGTGTGAAATTGGTCACAGTAGAAGAATTTACACCATGGAAACTGGCAAATGCTATAAAGCAGGGTCCTGCTCCAAGCTGGTGGTTAAGCATTTACCAGCAAACCACTGATTGTCTCTTTCAAAGGCTCAGATGACCCAGCTTCTGTCTGCCTGGCTCTTCAAAAGAGGAAAGTCACATTTTAAAAAACTATTTATGCATATCTTATCAGAGAGGAACAAGTTTTACCTTCCTACCTCTCTCAGTCAGCTCTAGAGCACTTTAGCACCACCCTCCAGAGACTGATTTTTGTTACAATTTAGCCTTAAGATTTTTTTCAGCCATTCTTACTTTCATGACACATCAGAAAGAAGAAAAAAAGTGTCACAGGATCTCTAAGTCATTCATACTCCATTCCCTTTGAAGCTCATGATTTCTGCACAAAAGTTGCTTGGCAGAGAATTTCATTTATGTTAATTTAATCTTATAAGATTGAAGATTATTGATAAACTAGCCAACTAACTCTCAACGTGTTTTTTGAATTTGGTTTCTCCTGGCCTTCCCAAAGCTATCAAGCTTTTTATATTCTAGAACATTTGAAAGCACATTAAAGAAAAGATAATGATTTGGAAACAGGCAGCAACTTCTCAACAAGGTAAAACAAATGCCTCTACAGCCCTGGAAGAAAATAAACCTTTGGAACAGAGCTTCACCATGTGGAAACATGTTAGCTTTAAGACATGATGATACTAAAATAATAGCAAGAGTCTGAAGTGCGTTATCACTAGACTCTGCGGAAGGAAGGAAAGTCATTTTTTTTTTTTTTGTCTTTTTCTGTGTCCAGCAACGGATCGCAACCCTCAGTGTCTCCCCCGCACCGGACCGGGACCGGCAATGGGATCGCAACCCTCAGCGTTGCTCCCGCGCCTCGCTCAGCCAGTGAGCAGGAACTGGTCTGTATGTGGGATCCAAACCCTCGGCGGGAGCGCCGCCGCGCTTCCCAAGCGGCGCACTATCACAGTGCGCCACCGGGCCGGCCCTGGAAAGTCATTTTAAAGTACCAATCAATTACTTGTTTTCTTCCACTGAGGCAAGTTTGACTTCAGGGTAAGAGTGAATTACAGATATTTAAGTACAATTTGATTCGTCTTTGTCTCCCCACAGCTCTCAGAACAATGCCTTCACAGAGCAAAACTCCAAAAAACATTTACTGATGGAACCAGTGCCAACATAACTGGGCTGTGATGAATGGACACCTTATTGACCTTCAGAAAACTGCTTTTTTTTCCCCGAAAACAGTCTGTAGGGTTCAGATGTTGCTAGAAACAAAGCTATTTTAGAGATGAAAGCAAACTGGACATCCTTCAATTGTCCTTTGGATGGTCTTTCTACTTAGCATTAACCAAAAATGTGGAGGCTGAAATGTTCATTGCCTGCTATGGAATGTTTCTGAGGCTGTCCCCTTGTTGTAAGTACAGCAAAGCTCAGAAGTACAGGAGCAGAAACCTGCTGCTGATGTAGATGGATCAGGGTCATCTCTTGGGAGCCTCCTCTCTGCTCCTGCCTCTCTGGGCTGGCTTTCCATTGGCCCTTCCACTAATGTCAGCCTCATACAAGCATGGGAGATGCTTGCACTGGAGTGGGATGAGGATATCTCGGCTCTCACTAGAGACGTGAAGCCTGTTCAGAATGCAGGTCAAAGTGGAAAGAGGTCTCTCTGCTCTGGCCAGTGTTGTTTATGGTTTTCCTTTGGATTGCTGGGTGGTATCTGTAAAATGTCTTGACTTGTAAGGGGAATGGCTACAGGCTGGGAGCCAGCTCTACACGGCTTTGGGGAAGCAACTTATTGGCAGCAATGGTCCTACTTATTTCCCTGAGATAGGAGATGCAATTTGGTACGTGGGGTTTGGGAGATGATTAGCATTCTCGCATCTCTGTTCCAAACTTCAGATCCAGCCTGGTGGACACTATAAATGTTCAATTCAAAAGCTGTTCACACGAGGAGGAAGCAAGAGCATGAGTGAGTGAGCAAGGGAGGGAATGAGAAAGAAAGAGGAGGGGCCGGCTAGCAAGGGCTCATTTCCTTTGAAGTAAACTTAAGTCCTTAATTGAACGCAGTAATTCTCAAACTGTAATGTGCATCAGAGCCACCTGGAGGGTTTGTTAAAACAGGGGTGGTTGGGCTTCCAAAATCAGACTTCTGATTCTGTAGATCTGAGAGGAAAACATAAACGTGCATTTCTTTTTTTTTTTTTCATGACCAGTAATGGGATCGCAACCCTCAGTGTCGCGCCCGTACCGCGCTCAACCAGTGAGTGGGAACCGGTCTCTATATGGGATCCGAACCCTCGGCGGGAGCACCGCCCTCTACCGAGTGCGCCACCCGGCCGGCCCCATAAATGTGCATTTCTAACAAGTTGCCAGGTAATGCTGGAGCTGCTGATCTCATGACCTCGCACCAAGAACCACTGATTTAACTCAACACTAGCTTTAGGTTCTTCTTAGATGTTTAGAGAGTTTGACTCACGAGGGTGTTCGTTTGTTCATTTACCCATTTGTGTATTCATTCATGACATATTTAGTGAGAATCTGCAATGGGCCAGCACTGCATAGACCACTGGTTCTCAAATTTTGGTAGCTATTGGAGTCAACTGGAGAACTGATAAAGCTCACAGAGGCCCAAACTAGTTGAAGCAAAGCAGGACCTGGACATTTTTACCAAGTTCTCTGGGGGATTCTGATGTCCACCAAAGTTTACGAATCAGTAATATAAGGGAATGGAAATAAAAAGATGTGAGCAGAGTTGTTGCATTTAAGCAGCTTAGTTTAGTCGAGGAGGGGACCGGAAAAGAAAAAAATTACTCAAAAATGTGAAAAGTACTAAGCAACATGTAAATCATGATTAATAAACTGGTTGCTACGGGAGACCAGGGAAGAAGCGCCTACCCAGACAAGGAAGCTCTAAAAGGTGTTGTTTGCAGAGATGTAGAGATAAAGTGTGGGTGACTAGACAGAGCATGGTAAAGGATGACTGAGCAACCAGAGGATGACAAAGTGTGCCTGGGGCTTACTGTGTGATAGAGGAAGCATTGCGTGGATCCCCGAGGATTCTGTGATTAGTCTTCAAGAGTTCCTTGTGAATTCTTATTCTTCAAGCATTTCCTGGTGCTCAGTATGTGCTAGGCACCCTGTCAGGCCCTGGTGTAGTGAAATAAATAAGGAACAAGGACCTGATAACAATGCAATCACATATATCCCATAAGAAAGTAATTCTTGGAGGCTTGTGGGAGGAGCAACTCACCATGCTTGGGGGAGTTTGGGGACTCTTCATTGTTTGTGTAAAAATCAAGCTGGGTTTCAAAGAATTTCAAGTAGGGGGAACAGCATGTTCTAACATATGGAGATGCTGAAGAGCCTGGTGAGTTCAGGGGAAGGTGGGTTTTTAGGGTAGTGACAGGCCTCATGTGCATGCTAAAGAGTGTGGGCATCGTCTTTTAGCATAAGCAACTCAGTAGAGTGTTTTAATTATGAAAATTGCACAGTCTTTCTTTAGGTGATGATAAGTCTGGAGGCATTGCTAAGGATAGATTAACAAAAAGATAGTAGCACGTAGTTACTCCTTTGTAATAAGCTGGGTGAGAGACGATGAGGTTCAAATCTCCAGCACTGGTAATAGAGAGGAAGGGCACTTTTGATACATATTTCTGAGTTCCAAATTATAGGACCTAATCACCAAAGGAGCATGAGATTAGTTTGGACATGCTGATTCTGCAATATCTGTTGGACTGGTCTGGTGCAAGAGGCTGGGACTGGAGATATCTAAGGGAGTCAGCAGCTTAGAGATGGTGGTTGGACAAAAAGAATGTGAAAAAGATCAACCAGGAAGAGCATATAGAATAAGAAGATCAAGCAAAAGCAGACCCCTGGGAATACCCCAACTTAAGGAATGACTGGAGGACGTGTTAGAGCAGGAGAGGGACTGAGCAGAACAGAGCAGAACCTCTTGGTGAATCAGGGGTTTCTAATAGAGCTCGAGAATAGGCCCTGTTAAAGGGTGGCTCCAGAAAATGCTCTTCTCAAATGTCCATCATCGGATGAGTGGATACGGAAAATGTGGTATATCTACACAATGGAATACTACTCAGCTATAAAAACGAATGAAATACTGCCATTTGCAACAACATGGATGGACCTTGAGAGAATAATATTAAGTGAAACGAGTCAGGCAGAGAAAAAGAAATACCACATGTTCTCACTTATTGGTGGGAGCTAAAAAAATAAACAAATTAATTTACCCAAAAACACACCAAAAAATACCGGGGGTGGGGTGGGGAAGAAGATATAACAACTATACTTTTTTTGAAGTTGTTACAACAAGCAAACGGAAAGGACATTCCTGGGGGGGGGGGGGGGAGAAGATATAACAACTATACTTTTTTT